CAGTGAGGAAAGGGTTCTGAGAGCCTTGGAAGTGATATTCGTGATCACCGCGAAATTCTCTATCGAATGGTGTATGAAGTGTCGAAAAATAAATTTCACTGCAAGGCTGCCCTGGGTGCATCTTACTTGTAATATTTTTTTCGAATTTATTTTATTGTCTTCTTTTCTTCAAATACAAAATTTTGAGAAAATTGAAATGAGAGACAAGAGTGTAGTTTATTATTATGGGAAAAGATAACTGAAAGTAGTCTTTATAAATTCAAGTATGGCAGATTTAAACTTTTAATAAGTTCATCACTGCCTTAATGATAATCTTTGAGAACAATAGACGAGCAAAATGTGTTTTTTGAAACCGTTATCGTCATATATCACAGCAATAATTCATAAAAGGCAATATGATAAATATGAAGAGAATCAGGATGTCGCTTCGACAGTTCTTCATAACGTGCCTAACAATTGTGGACATCGTGTACTTATAACAAGAATGTGGTTTTATCATCTTAAATTGTGAGAGATATTTATGCCTATAACGTACTTCTGACAAGAAAGGTTAATACCATTTACAGTTAAATGAACAAGATTTTCTAAAGTTCGGTTGGATATTATAACATATAACTTATCCAAAACAAGAATTTGAATGTGAATCAAAATGCTATAGTTAAATATGGCAATGCACTGTAGGATTAGGGCAGTTATCATACGTTAATTTTATGTACGAGTGGTAATTCTTATTCTTGAACGAAATCTCTAGCAGCATTGCTTTTCTATGTCCTGGAAGAAGTATTTGACTTGTTTACTACATAAACTGTATGATGTTTGCTATATAAACTGTATGATCCTACAAACTTGTTTTTATTCATGGATTAACGAATTACAATATCGTTTAAGATTTTGTAAAGGTCTGATATTTCTTTGTTTTTTTGTTGATAATCTAATTTTGTAATATAAAAATGAAAATGCACTCAGAAATAAACAATAGAAGAAATAACAATAACAAAAAAATTTATCTTGCACAACTACAATCCTGAAATATTCACAACTTATAAGAATTCAAGTTTGGTAGCGGTGATATAAAAGTTTTCTATATGAAAAATTGCTTCTGCCCTAATATGTCAGATTTCTATTATAAATGGACGCTAAGGACAAGACTTGTGAGATTCTTGAATCAGTAATTTTGATAGAAAGATGCATAATGCCATCATTTAAACTAAATCTATCCAAAAAATACAGACGACATAAATTCTTACGTTACACACACACACACACACACACACACACGCAAACGCACACACATGTCAAGTTTGAGTATATAAAATTGCACAATTGTTAAAGTCAAGAACCATATTTTAAATCATTTATCGAAAAGAAAATATCTCACAGTTCTATGTTAATTTTGGTGAAACCGGCATCAAAGGCGTTGATAAAGGCAATAACGGAGCTGTTATAGTGTGCGATGGTGGAGTTGACATATTGAAATTTGTCATATATTGGCGAGCGTTAAATTCAGCACGAGCAATTAATTGATTTATCTCATCACATCGATCACGTTCATCTCTGAACAGAAAATCAAAATTAAAATTAAGAGTTAAGTTTAATAAATAATTATAGTGAATTTTACCTTCGTCCATCTTGTGCACGTTTGCGCATTTGTAACATTATTTCACGCAAATCGGCGTTCTCATCTTCTAATAGTTTAATTTGTACTTGTAAAGATTCTTTTGTTGATTTTTCGGCTACAAATCGTCTTTCAAGATCATTTACCTAGAAAAGAAAACGTATGAGACGGTGAGTGTGTGTTTAAAGTAGCATACGGATAAAGATGAGTTCACTTTTGTTTTTAAGTCGTCCAAACGCTGATTGTCAACATTACTACCACCACCGACCGTATCAACATTAATCACATCCGTTCTAAAGAAAAATATACAAAATATTATAAATATAAATTAACAAGAAGCAAAAAAATATATTTTAATACATACCGTCTTACAGTAATATTTTCCAAAATTTGACTTCGTTTTATTCTTTCTAATTCGTCTTCAAGTACACGATTTCTTAATAAAAATATTAAATGATCAGAGTTAAATGAAAATATTTATTAGAAATAGAGTTACTTACTTTTCTGATAATTCACTAAGACGTTTATATTCGTTTGATATTCTCTCTTCAACTGTTTGTCTCTCTAATTGAACTTCTTTATTTTTAAATTGTGTATCTTGAATTATTCTATCTTTTTCAAATATAATTTCTTGTTTATGAGTTAATGCATCTTTAAGACGTTCAATTTCATTTTGTAATTGTTCTGTACGTATTTGAGCTTCACGTCTTTCACGATCAGTTTGTTCTCTATAATATAGGATAACATGAACCATGTAAAATAAAGAAAAATAATTTCAATAAATACGAACAAACGTGTTTTGATTGTACTCATTTTATCCTTATATTTTGCAGTAACATTGACAACATTTTTTGATAAAACTTCAGAATGAGCATTGATTTCAGACTAAAACAAAAAAATATAAAGAAAACAAAATAAATGAGAATTAATAACAAATTAAAAATAGAAGTATGAGGCATTAGTACAGTAGATTAGTCCGCGTGTATCTAAATAAATTATATGAAAAGCATTTATTTACTAATAAATAATTTACTTTAATACATAACTGTTTTTTTTTTTTTATTGTTTCTTTACTGAAGTTGCACGAAGTCAAAAAGATGGAAGAAAAAAAACTTTTCAACACAAACATAGTTATTTTTATACAAAATATACTTCTAAAAACTATAAATTAGTAGAAAGATGATAACTCGTATCATGAAGAAAAAAAAAAATTGTCAAAATATTTAGTTAACAAGAAACATATATCTTTAGTGTTTCTTTCAAAGAGTCTATGATAAAATATTCATATTGTTAATTTAAAGTAATAAATCAAAATAATATTAAAATTGATTTTAGAATATATTTAATAAGCACTTTTTGACCAGAATCAAAGCACTATCGCAGAGTCTGTTAAATATAGTTTAAAAGCGTTAGTGCCTATTATAAAAAATTATTATCACATCTTTCTTTTAATAAATTTTCTATAAAAAATATTATTATTTAAATTTTATGATAATTTCAAGATGATGATAAAATATGTCTAAACAAATATGCTTCTCTTTTTGTAGTCTCATAAAAATGTCTTAAATAAAATATTTCTAAATAATTTTGTACATATCGCATTAGTAACAAATAACAACTATACTTTTATCTCTTATAATACAATATTGACAAAAATCTTATTTTATTATCATCAATATTTTTTTTTTAAATTGACATAGTATTTTGTCACTGTACATAAAATTTGATAAACTCTCATTCAAATAGATAATAAATTATATTTTTGTGCAGTTAGTTTTTGTGATAACAAACTCCATTAATTATTCGATATTGAACCCGTGACTTATCATCATTGGTAGGTATATATTTTTGCTAAAAAAATTAGAAAAATCTTTTTAAGTTTTTTTGTGATTATATAACTTTCTCTTTATTCAGATATTACAATGTGTGAAATAAAAATTGATTCAATTTGTGCTAGGAAAAAGAAAAAACGTATATTATTTATAGTATAAATAATAAACGTGTAGTTTATGTGAATTAGTATTCAAAAACATCAGTTTTGATGATGTTGCATTTTACGTGCATCAAATAAAAAAAGGGTTGTTCACACTTTATACCAATTTTTTGCGCAGCTAAAACAGATATGTAATATTTGTGTTTGGGATTGAGATCTGAGCATATATATCATTTGATCAAAAATTTTTTAAAACTGCATTTGTATTTTTCTTCTTCTTTTACCTTTTCTTTTTCTAATTGATCACAACGTTTTAATGTTTGATCGAGAACTACTTGTACACGTTCTAATTGTAATGTAGCTCCTGTAATACGTTCACAAACATCATCATATTTCATTTTTAATGTTATTAATTCATGTTCTAATTGAGCCGATCTTCGTCTTTCATTTTCTAACATATCCAAATTAATACGGGGTTCATTTGAATTTGTTTCAAACTAATATTAAAACAACATTATTTGTCAGTTAAATAATAGAGAAAATTTTTATTCTTCTTACCATTTGTCTTTCTGCTAGAATACGTGCCTCTTTTTCTTCTTGCAATAATTTTTTCATTTTATTTAATTCAAAATTAGAATATTCTGCAATTTCATTGTAACGCTCGCGTAATGATAATAGCTCATTTTCTAATTGTGTTGAACGTTTTGAATTCTAAATAAGATAAATATTGAACAAATTTAAGTATTTTGATGTTATTTTACTCACAACAAGTTCATTTGTTAAACGTTCATTTTGTGCACGCAATCTTTCCAATTCTGTTTGTAATGCTAACATGTCCGTAGTATTTGAACTTCTTGAACAAAAAAAAATATTGAAATAATCGTTTTTATATTGTGTGTTGTCGGATTTTTACTATGCACCTTAGATTTTCATTTTGTTCAAATATTTGTTCTAAATCATTACTGTTTCCTTGAGTTAGTCGTCTCGATACAACTTCTAGAACAGCAACGAATAACACATCATATACGTTGTAATTACTGTCCGTTTCAACATACAGTGTACATGGCTATTTTTTGAATAATTCGAAAAAACAAAAAGTGATAGAAACATGCGATTTTCGCCATTTTGTAGACAAATGTTTACTGCATCATTTGATATATGGATGGTTTTTAAAATCGGAGACAAGATAGGGTATATGTTGAAATTTTCGAGTAGTTTGGATCGATTTTGACTGCGTTACGAAGTTTTTAGTTTTTGATGAAGATGGACAAAAATGGATTATTTCATCTACTACTAGGCTCTTGAATTTTCTTCTGAAAACAAATGTAGCCAAGAGACTCGGCGTGGTTGAAAACATATGTTTGCGATTAATTTTAAAGTTATAAGAGTTAACTAGATGGAGATAGATAGGTCGCAGCAAAACCTATGCTGTCTGAAAATTGTGGTAGTTAGCGAGCTCGGACTTGCGGGCTTTTGTAAAGAACACTTTGGGCTATCTGTCCATCTAATTTAAGTTAGCGTTTCATCTTTGCTTCGATATTTGTTGACCCCTTCTTTTCTCAACCGTCAGATACACCACTTGAAAATCCGATTTTAAAAACTATTCATATATTAAATGATGCAATAAACATTTCTCTACAAAATGATGAAAACCGTATGTTTCTATCACTTTTTGTTTTATCGAATTATTCAAAAGATAGCCATGTACACTATATGCAAAAACGGACGGTACTTCAGTTTTCATACCACTTAATCGTTTATTACACGAAGCAATATGTGAACGTAGGACGTCACATTTTAATTTAAGCCGTTCTATTGAAAACTGGACGTTATCATCGGCGTTTTCAAACCGCCTTTCCAACTCTGCTATTTTCTTTTCGGTGACATCTAATTCGTGCTTAACACGAGTAGTTTCTCTTTCAAGTGATCGCTGTTCAATAATGGTGAATAATTGAGATACATCCACAGAATTGTGAGATTTGTCTGCCTAGAAAATTTAGAAAATAATCTTGTTTTCAAAGATATATAGTAGAATTCGTCTTGTTAGTGTAAGGGCTAAAAGAACTGCTAGGGAGAAAAATTTTCCACTATGTCTTCAAACAGGAAGAAAAACTGTTCCAAAAATAGCTGGAGTGGTCAATTATCGAATGTTTTAATTAAGAAGTGTTCAAGAAGTTATTATTTATCATTAATACATATACTTAGGAAAACGTTAACTACCAAACGTTATTTCCCAAGTACACTGACTCTCACAAAGCAACTTACAATTCCTGCATGCGCCTATAAATTTTCATAAAACAGATATATACAAGTATATACTCGTATTGAACAGGAAAGAAAATTTTTTTTAGATGAATTAATCGCACATACCAAATATCTTAATAGATCATTTTCTTCTTGTTGCGTTGACGATTTGAATTTTAATTCTTGTAGTTGATGTTCGGTTTGTCGACATTGCTCAACAGCTATTTGTAAAACAGAATTCGATGTTGCTGAATTATTATCTAATTTTTCATGTAATAGTGTAAAAGCGTATTCTAGTTTTGCACGTAATGTTTCTATTTCTCGTTGTAATTCAACATTTTGCTGCATGAAACGTTGCATTAACTCTTGATTTCCTTATAATGTAAATAAAGAATACTTAGTTATTCATTTTTCAAAGGATTAATACTAATAATACCTGATAAATGAGTTAAATCGGTTGCATTATCACCAAATTCGTCTGGTGGAGGACACGCTTTATCAATTATCTGTCTTAAACGTGTTATTTGTTCATTTTTATCTTGATGTATCTTTTGAAGTTGCCGACGAAATTCTTCTTCAAGAAATTTATTTTGTTCTTCTAACCTTGCTGTCTGTTCTCGGAGATAATGCACATCACGATTTCCAAAATAAATCATTTCACGAATACTCTAGAAAACAAATCTCTTTCAAACTCTTTTATGTATGTTGTGTGAAAAGCTCTATTAAAAAGCGTAATAGCATAGATTCGTGCCATTAAAATGAATGAATCAGAATAAAACTACAATAATAAGGAAAACTAAATATAAATCATTGTTCATGAAAGAATCGTTTAATGTTGCTCAAGAAACGATAAGCAGTTAAATAGTATGCATGATTGATTTTTACTGTACGGTTTTATTGATTTTCGTGGTGGTCCTGTTGATAGATTTGGGCGAAACGAGTGTCCTACTTTACATTGTAGTGTTACATATGGTGAAATTTTACATCTATGTCATTCAATTGGCTGATGATAGAGATGTTCTTGTATGTTTGGACAACATTCACCTACTGACTACTCGCTTTTCCATATCATATTCTTTCGTTGAGATGTAGAGTAAGTGAATTGATGTACTCTAACGCTCTACATGTTGTTTCGAATTTATTAGTAATATATAGTGGACGAATATGAGTAACAGCAGAAACCGTTATTCTTCTAGCCTTATACTGTGTTGTTAGATTGACTGATATATTTCAATATATCATTCGACATTTGAGTTTTTTGATATTGAATATGAGGCGTGAACATTGAATAATAATCGATCAGTGATAGGATTTTTCAAGTTATTCTTGGAGAAAGAGAGATACAGCGAACAGCACTTACTTTCAGTCCACCTTGAAAGTCTTTATCATCAAGACTTAAATCTTGTAATAAATAACGGTAGCGATGAAACAAGGAAACCATTGTTTGAATTTTTAGCCATAATTTCATAATAATCTCTCGTTCTTGACCTTGAGTAGTAAATTTTTGTTTAGTGGAAAATAGGTACAAAAAATTCAGATAAATATCAAACCTTCATGCAAATGAAATTCACGTTCAATTGCACTCAAAACATCTTGATATGACAGTAGGCCCTAGGAAAATAAAAGGATCTTAAGTAATTTATAAGCTGTAGACAGATGATTAGAAAAATAGAGTCTGTATAGGGTAAATGTATAGCAAAGTTTTGGTATGTAAAGAAAGTGACGACTGATACGAAAAATATTCCATTGTTTGTAGTCGTTGTAACTGTTGATAACTGGGATATGTGCTAGTCGTACAGTGTTGAACGTTTTGATGAACCAGGGTGAATTACCCACATCGTATATAACCAGAAAGAGACCACTAACTTCTGATGTATTATCGTGCTTTCTACCTCCTTTATTTTCTCGATTTGGAGGATATCTCGATTATCGATGTTGTTCTACAACGTTCATCCTGCACGATTAAACGCTGCTCCTGTTACAGTTTTTGACGCTACATGATGATAAAACCGTCAATCGCTCTACTCTTATGCACTTGAATATTTATAAGTTTTCAAAATGTTCCACTTATTGAAATATTACGATTGTAATGGAAAAGAGAAAAACTATTTCGTAAAGACAAAATGGTAAAGTGTTGATTAAACAGTTTTTTAGATATATTCAATTGTTATGTATGAAAAGAAAAAAATCTGTTGTTGTTGTTTTCACTGTTGATGTTATTTCAATAAACGAATTTTTTTAACACATTTAACTTTTTTAATGACAAGTAAGTACGTATGAGAATAAATCTACTATACCCTGAGACTAATTGAAGAGGGATAAACCAGAACTTCACTTGTTTCTGATGATCGTGGTGACATGAGATCATGCTGCAGTGCTTGATGAGAAATAGAAGTTGTTATTAGTGGATTTTGATTTACAATTCGTTGAGTAACTCCAGCTTGTTGTTGGTGATCTAAGCGTGATGCAAGAGGATTTTGACTAACCAGTCGATCCATATCTGTACTTTGCAGGATAGTGTTTAGTTGATCTTGACCAATTGAGTGAATTGTATGCTAAAAAAACTTTTGAGATCAGTACAACTAACATTATGATTGTTAACAGCGATGAGAACTCTTTCGAATAAAGATTCAAAACTCGTTTAAAGTGTCGTAGTTAATAGAGTACAGTTTTTCCCATCAATTGAAGTTTAATACAGAAGAATGACCGAACGCATACCCTTCGTTCATTAATATCATTCAAATTTCGTCGTCTTGTTGAGATTGGTGTTGTTTGTTTTGATGTAGTAGAATGTCTAGCTTAAACAAAGAGGAAAATGGATAAAAAGGTAACGCTAAAAAAAACGATCAAGCTAATTAAAAAATTATAATAATTTAATTGTAAAGATCTCGACTGAAAAATCATGCAAACACATTGAATTTTAGAAGAGAAAGAAGTGTTAAGTAGTGCTGTAGTTAGCCAAGAAAGATCTTTTGTTTAAAAATTTTTTGAATACAGATTGGTATGTACAGCAGCTTTAAGTAGGTAGTCAGCTTGAATATAATTGTATTTCTTTCTTTCATGAACTGTCATATTTGAACAAATATTGCTCACCATTCAAAGTGTTTGCCGTATTTTTGTCATTTTTTAATCGTTTAATTTCTTCATAAAATGCTTTTATATCAGCAGGATCTGTAGGCGCCTTAGAACACAAAGAGAAAAAAAGAGCAGTGATAGATGACAGGGTCACATAATAAAATGGAATTAAAAAAAGAAAAAAAGAAGAATGCAAAGATATTATTATTATTATTATATTACATTCGTGGTTATTTTTCTATGGATTCCAATAATTATAATAACACATGAAGGTCAAAAACCGCAAACAATTTCTTTCAAGTTGAAGTAAAAAAAAGATTTATTTATATTAAAAAAAAAACTTGAAAATAAGTAGAAAACACTTGAAAATTTATGTTTAAACAGATTAAAATCATCGGATAGTTTTAGACAATGAATCATCATTTAGACATGTAGTTTTAATTGATATAATGTTGATCAGCAGATATGATATTACCTAATATCGTATTGCAGTGTACATGTCCACAAAAAGATGAAAAAGTATGTATGAAATGTTTAGTTTATAAGCTCAGGAATTATATAGAAAACGTATCTCATTCAAAGTAAAAAGACGCTGACTACCAATTCTACACTGTTTTAGATTAATAAATCATTAAAAAGTTAGTGATATTGACAAATAATCGATTATGTTGGCGATTAATACAAGCATCTCAATAGTAACAGGTAAAATCTGAGGAGAATTTTTCATACGGTGATAAAAGAATCTGTACTTCTGTCAATATTCGAGGGCTTTTCTGTTTCTGATAAATACACTAAAATAAGAAACCACTTACAATACTATGACTGTAATCTGATCGTGTTCTTTGATGACTTTTTACATTTGATCGTTTCTGTGACGCTGAAAGGAGAAGAAAGTTTTCTTTTTTGGTTGATAAATGAAGTCATTACATATTAAACAGATTTTGTGTACGTATGCTGGACGTTTATTAAAATATTATCAATCACTATAGTCTTATTACTAATAAGACAACTGGTAAAGTAATGAACTCAAAGTAAGAGGCGTATGAGCGAGAAAACAGAACATTTTTGTCTTTTGTTATTGAAACATTGAAATAGAGTTTGAAAAGACTCCGTTCTAACCTCAAAAGATAGAGATTTTTCTACTTCATGACACCATGAAACCGTAGGGGCAGTGAAAAAGACGCTTCCACATATTTCACAATATAAAAAAGCGTTGAGACAGGATACTGTATGATCTCCGTAACTTTAAAAATTTATTTCTTTGAATTTGTCATATAATAGCTGTATTTTTCTTATCATTGACTTCTTTTTTCTTATTTATTACAAGTGTATATTGGACGACTACAGAAAAACAAGGGTTTAATCTCTCTTTGTCTCTAATTACTCACATTCACCTTTAATACCTATGTGTTAAAGTAGGTAAAAATAGAAAATTTTATACATAAATACCCGAAAATATATTTCAATATTTATTTTCAGTTTCTCAAAAAAATTCGTTCCCACCACTTCTAACTCACTGCGGCACCTCTGCCATGACATTGAATAATAAGAATTAACAGATGTGTCTTGGCTCACCGGTTACATTATAGCGTTTCTCATACGAATTCTTTTGGCCGTTTTGGTCAGTTTGTAAGTTTAGTAACTTTCAACTAGTGTATCAATTCAAAGAGTATCAACTAATCACAAGAATTTGAGTATAATCATAACAACAACAGCGTAAAAAAATATTATTTTAAATCAGACTACTTACTACGTATATAATGATGATTATTAAATAGACAAAAATCTTATAAATACATTTATATTATTCTTATTGCAGAGAAATATTTTCACGCTTTTATCGCTGACAACAGTTTAATCCTTTTTTTTGGCAATAAAAAAGAAAAAAAAATCAAATGATGTATTATTATTTAAAAAATTTTGTTCAACTTCAAATGTGGCTTAAACGCGTTCGGCTTTTCGATTATTTTGGCTTCTTTCACACACACTCACACAAATATAAAAGAAAATCTATTTTTTTTTCTCTCTCTCTGTTTCTGTTTTTCATTTAAGAGTCATAATAAACACGGTGGACAATATAGAATGAATGGAAGTGCTTAAATGATTCCCTTTGCTTGTTCTTTATCCTCCTTTTAGAAAAACTAAGTTAAAACGTAAAGTCGTAATTTATGCTTACATATATATTATGACACGAACGAAGACAATAACAACATATAACTATACGATTAAAAATGAAAATATTGTTGTATTATAGACATACTTTTGCTTTCGAATGATGAGCAGTATGAAAAGGAGGAGATCGTAGAAAACTGTTCTAGTAAAACAGGTAAGAGAAGAGATGTATACAATCCTTTAACAAAAGAAAACAGTTCTCTTTTTCTTCTCACCCACCCTCTCCCTTCCTTCACTCTCTCTCTCTCTCTCTTTTCTATTTATACTGTTGTCTGGAAATGAAAGGACCGATTAAACATAGAGATAAGAGTATATTTTATTTACTATAGTTGTCCGAGTTACTTTACATTAAACAGAGAAATGATAAATATCGTTTAGTCGTAGTCATTTGACGATATACACACATTATGCACATTTATAACGGTATTCTATTTTCTCAGAATTTGAAGATTCAGTTAAGTAAAAGAACAAACTTACCTTTAATTTCTGCGTAAGACTTCAGTGCTCCAATAAAAGCATCTAAGTAGAATAGAGCAAAATTATATCGACATTCGATTAGAACAAAAAGAAAAAGAACTACTACCATTAAATTCGTATGTTTGTTCTTGTGTAGGACGGTTTTTATTTCTCTTCGATGAGTCTGTTTGTTGCACCATAGGATTTTGCTTAGTGTTGAGAGAATCATAGAATGATTCTTGTGAAGAATCGTCCGATAAATGACGTCGAAAACGAATACGGGAGCGTTTTCTCGGTGAATACCTCGATCTTTGGTCAGTTGTTGTTGTTGTCGTTCGTTTCTCATCTCGGTACATGAAAGGTGGTCGTTCTCCTATTACACTATAAATAATAAATAAGAACTAAAATGTGTTTTGAATGTGGTAGTAATGTTGGTCGACTAACAATGTTTCATAATCGGAAGATATACTTGAAGTATCTGACAAGATTTCTTCGTCATTTGATACAGAATGTTTTGTCATCGAGCTGCATTTATTTGTATTTTACAGCGTATTTGAATTATAATAATAACAAAATATGAAAGTACCTAAAAATAATAGCAAAGCAAAAGAGAATGTCTCAATATTCTGTAGCGGTTCTTTAAGTTCTGACTTCACTGATTTTTTTAAGGTCTTCTGTGATCTTTTAGAAATATCGCTTAGCATAGATTATTTTCCTCATTCTAACTCCATTTCACGCATGTGTTCTTGTTAAGAATTTATTCTTTTAACCAAACACGGATAATTGAGTATAATTAGATTATTGAACAGATTTTATTTGTATATCTTTCACTCGAAATCGCTAACAAAGCCAGTTCGAACGCGTTAATTTGAATTACTGTTTGTCATCCTGGAGACATTTTTAAGGGTATCTTTTTTTCATCCTCTTGGGAAAGATGGAAGAGAGAATCTGATTGAGTCCACATTTTTACGAGAAATAGAACATCAGAAGAAAAGGATGTATTTTTGCTCAGAATTTTCTAATGTTCTGCCAATGGTTTTTGAGAGTATCCGGTTTTCAAACAGGTAGATTACCATCTCTCGAAAAAATAGTCAAATTGAGTCCAAGTTTTTATCACGGATAATTCACTCCCTATCTATGATTCTAAGTTTTTTTCGAAAAATATGCTTACTTTCTTGAGATATTTATAAAATGCTGAATATCTTGTGTAAAAAATCGTTTTTTTTCGGGCTCTTGATCAAAAACTTAAAAAGGTCATAACTTTTGCAAAAAAGAGGTCGTGGAACGCTGGGAGTGTTCTCATTTAATAGCCAGACTTTCCTCTACATTAAACAAAGTTCAACTTCAAATAAAAGATTTTGTCAAAAAAGAGAGGCAGACATCAACTGTTTACATTAAGATACTAAACGCTTTACGGAATTTGATTATACTCTCAGCTCCACTTTCAGTTGTACTGGAACAATACTGGGTATTTAACGAGAAGAGAAAAGATGAAACATATGAGACATAAGATTTATTAGTACAGGAAGACGTCCTACATGCAAAATCATAATAAAAGCTTTCCGATATATGTTAATAATGTGTGCAACACATGATTTACAAAATGTGGTTGTGTGAATTTTTCTCAAACAAACAAAAAACATGCAAATGTAATTGTTTCATATTTTAGTATTGTTTCATTCAAAAAATACTGTGCCGTTGAGATAAATGATAACCATTCTTCTGGTGTCTATTGTGCCACCAGGAAATGTCCATTCCGACCAATCATTTCTTGTTCACTAAAAGATGCAATTATTTGCAAACAAGTAAGACAACTTTGCTACTAAATCGAGAACATTCTCTTTTTTTGTCATTTGTTGATGTCGATCGATTAAGTTCACGGTTAATTCTTCCCGAACAACACAGTCAACACTTCGATTGCGTCTTCCTCAAGAAACAGATTGTATGTAGATTAATACTGCCTTTCCAGAGAAGAAGACTTATGACAACTTGCTCACTCGGACAGATCCTCATAGCAAATTGCTGATAATTCTTTCAAATTTATACTATCCTTAACCTTCTGAGTGCGATAAGCCACGATCGTGGCTTTTGCGGTAGAGCGCGATGAGCCACGAAGATGGCTTTCCATATATAGTCTTATATTTCTGTTTGTTAGCCAATCAGTGCGGGGTAACTGCTAACCAAATTTTCGAGCAATTTTAATTGCCATTCGGTAGCCTGACGGAAAATTTTACTGCGCTCTCAGAGAGTTAATACTTGTTGAAAAATATATTGTTTATGAACACTCGATGTACAAAATTTACTCAATATAAGAAACATAAATTAGTTTGAACGTGTTTTATACACTATTTTAAGATTCTCATTTGTAAGGAATTTTAACTAGTATGAATATATATATAATAGTATGAATATATTTTGTAAATGATTTTACTCTTTCTATTTAAAGTGTCCGGTGAGCAAATGTCCGTCTTCCCTTATTTCTTATACCCAAATGGTAGAGTAAGCTGATATTATCATAACAGTTACTCTCTACAATTGATCTTAGCTAACATTAGTATTCTTTTAGATTTTGAAAACATTCCTTTTTTCATCCAACACACTCAACCGTGTGTAACCTTCTTTATCTTTTGCATTTTAATCATCAAGAATTAATGCTTTTGTTGATGTTGCTAAGTATGAACACCAATCAGAGATCCAGAATCTCGCTTAAATCTTGTAGGGGAAACATGACCTTACCAACTGCTTCACGTTGTTCAGCATATGAATGACGCTAAATAATAGATTTAACAATAATTTATCTACTTGCTAGATAATAGAAAACATCAATTGCTATCATCATGAACAACAGGACTAAATATGACGACCAGTGTTTCTAATGAGAATTGTAATCAAAATGAATTGAACCACTTTGCTCTGAAGCCTAAAGTGGCACTAACCACTTTGTGCTAAACTGCAAAGTGGTCTCGAATAAAGTATCAGCAAGCAGCGTTTATAAAACTGTTTTCTGCTTGGGTTCTAAAACATGGACCTTTCCAGTGTTTCTAATGAGAATTTTCAGCAGAGCGTACACAAACGTGGTAATTAATAAGATCAATCATGATGGCAAAACTAGAGAAGAAAACAGAGTGGAAATTTTAGAAAGCAAAGTGGTTCGCAACGTGGTTTTTTTTACTTTCAAAGTGGAAACAGAGTGGATTTCATTTTTACAAAGTGAAAGACCACTTTGCTCTCACGGGGACCACTAATCATTAGAAACACTGATAACGACGATAACATTTGATTATAAATATCTTTGACAAAAAGACCTCTGAATTCTCTCTAAAGTTTTTATTAATTGATTGCTGTTTTGGAGGTACAATAAAGCACTAGAGGTCAAAATAGACAAGATAGTAACGCATAGCGCTGCGGTGTAGAATATTTCTACTAGCTAGTTCATTATTCTTTGCAATCAGAAGGGAAGACGTGTTTATTTCTCACATTTTTTTGTTTTTTAACTATACCGGACTCAATCAATCAAAGCTTTCCATTTAAACAAAAACTAAAGTGTTATTGTCTGTTTTCTTCCACGTAGTGATATGTTTACTATTAGTCTCTAAAATAGTGAATATCTCGGTAGTCGTCACTTGTGAAAAAAAATGAAAAGCAGTGAATGGTATTTGATTTTGATTTTGTTTAGATTGAAAAGTTTGATTGAATGAGTTGGATATTTGTTAAACAACAAAAAAGTGCTCAGAATAAGCACTTCTTTCCATCTGACCACGTAACATCTGTCTGATAAGCTGATTCATGTCAAAAAAATGCTTATTTATCGTCGCCATTTTCAACGAATTTCGTTTCTTATCACTACGATTGGATCACAATGATGAAGTATAGTTTTTTCATTTCGGTTCACTTATGCAATGACATTTCATTGGTAAATCACTGGCAGCATGAGAGATAGTAATCACAACAGAGAAAGCTTTTAAAAGAAGGGAAACCATATGACTCAAAAAACTATGTCTCGAGAAAATTGTCTTGTCGAAATTCTCAAAGCTAGTGAAGACAGAAGCTTTCTAAACTTTTGTTACTTTTTGAGCACATCAACATTTTCGTAATCAAAACTCTAGTTATTGGCTTATTAACCAATGTATTTAGGATAAGTTTTCATTAGTGTTACAGCTTGGATTCATTTTTAGATTATGTATTCTTTATGTGAAAAGTATGGCATTTATTCGTTGTCTTAAGCGTAAACATTTCGATTACATTCTTTCTAATAATAATAACAACAGCAATAATGATTCAACAAGTACAATTAAATTATCAATGACTTGTTTGAGATGAAGATATTAATTTTCATTTACATTACTATTGGATATTGTATGAAAGTATGAAATATTCACAAGATATGTTAGTACTATTCAAATTATGGTCATCAAAAGATCTACAACGATTAAAAGAATTTTTAGATATACTAAAACGTGAATATGACCACTCATTACATCGAGTAAGTTCTTATTAAAATTGTTTATTTAACAATGGCTACTTTAGAGACAGCAAATATCATCATTCTATGGTGGATCTAACTGAACGTTTTTCATTGGCATTACATTGTATGAATCATTAGAATACGATCGTCTATTTGAATGAAATTGAATTAGAAAAATTTCATTTGTATGAAATCCAATATTTAATGGATACACTATTACCACATTGATGACCGGTAAAAATCGTTTACGTCGTTACAAGGACGAGTTTTCTCGTCACCGGTCATCAATGTGTTACAATTGAATAAATATTATTATATAATAATGCAGCGCCATCTATTCAATTATAATTTGATTAAAATATGTTTACTTCATCGACAAGTACTTCGGCTGATTTATCACTACCGTTCTATTCATCCATATCAAACATATCTGAACGAAACGTATTACATACATTTGTCTGTTATAAATCTGTAAATTCTAAAAAATTAACAACATTACGTTTATTACTGGTATTCGTTGCTGTATTTTCACTGACTACGATTGGTAATTGGATTAATAATGAGAATCAAGAATTGTTGATATACCAAATTAATCATCATACTGTACCGGGAAATTATGTTGACACTGCATTTGAAAATGCTGATCAACAATATGGAAATGTCAGATGTTTTATATTTTTGAGATCATTCAATATTCTTATTACAAGAACAACATTATCAAAACTTTATTGATACACTTCACTCTTGTATCGATAAAATAAAGCCAACAGCTAATATCTTTAATGTGCATCTTACACTTGATTATCTCAGAGGTTTCTGGAAAATGTCAATCAGCATCAATTGACCAGATTATAGGTTATCTGAGAGACACATATTTTGCTTACAAGAGAACTCATTACTCAAACGTATTCTGTCAAATAATCTCTGGACGGTCTAAGCATGCTCAAGACTAGTAGATTTTGTACAGATATCTAAAAGTAAACAAATTTATTAGTTTTTTCTTCAGATTTTTGTATTTATGTAAGAAAATAAACATACTGCTTTGGTTGTTGTGATCCAGTTTATTACATCTCCGTGCATATTTATCTTCGACGAAAATAATCAAAAATTATTATCATTATTTAATAGTTTTAGAAACTACTCGAATTACTATCGTTATTTATGTATATTGTTACTATTTTCAAACTTGTTTTCGGAAAATTAATAATAAATCCATAATATAAATTTTTTAGCAATCATAAATAGTTAAGATCTGTCTAAATTTATCAGCAATATTGTTGTTTTGTGAATCAGTTTCGATTAATATTGAGTATTAAAGCAAACTAATCAATCTCAATCGATTATTCCATATAAATTAAAAACAAAAAGATAAATGATTTATGAGAAAGAGAGTTGAGAATATAAATTTACTTAGTGGAGGCTTCGAATAATCAACAAACATATTAAATTAAAACACGAAATCAAAAATTTCTTTGCTAGAAACTTAGTTTAAAAAAAGAATCGTTAAATTAAGATCATCTATCTGCAAATAATTCAATCATTTTATAAACTGAAATTCATGTATGAAGTAATCAAAGTTTATCTTGGATGGATCAATTTCATATATAATTAACGTTATAACGTTATGCAAAATTGATGATAAAAGGAAAAGGAACTATTAACTGAATGTAAAATCTTCGTTCTTATGTTTTACTTTCTATATAATCAAAATAAAAATGTGACATTGACAAGAATGAAAAAAAAAATCCTGTCGTTTTAGATTACTTTAATGATTGCTAATAGAAGGTAAATTTAAGTATTTTTTTATATAGGCATAGTTTGCTATTTTGTTCCAACTCTTTCCTTCTGATCATGACTATGGTATTTATTTTTCATGAAAAATTTATTCTAGTATCCATTTTAGTAAAAAAGTTAGTAAAAATGTTCTATTTTTTAGTACCAAGAACTATTGTAATTTTATTTTTACTCTATTTGTATCATTTTCTCATGATAGATCATACAGATCTTTTTAATTTATAGAAAATGCTATCACAGGGTATAGAAATTACAGTAGATGAACTCAACATGAATATAAAAGTAGGATCACTACTAATAAAAAATATTTGAAATCGTTTTTTAGTCACACTTTTCCTTCAGTTACAACTCTTATGTATATTTTTTAAGGTTATTTTTATGCTATAGATTGATATATACTCTATCGGTTGAAATTTTATTTTGATTTGTGCATACTGTATGTCGATCATATTTCTCTTCTCAGTGCCAACTATCCGACCATAATAATGGGTTTGAGACAAAATAAAACATTAGATATATTCTATATTAATATTCTCTTTTTGTGTAAAAACATCCTCTAAACATCAAATAAGGCCGATTCTAGTGGAAACCATTATCCGTCCTTTGCCCACAAGCAAATATTAGTCACTTCACCATATTATTTTTAAGGTTTTGCGCATACATTGTTCATCAACTGTAATCAAACATCGATTTGTTAAATATAATGCCGCATATTTGTACTGAATCACACGACAAGGCTGAAATTAAAAAAGGAACTTTGATAGTATTTCCTTAAAGCACCAACATTATACTTGATCATGTCGAAATGATATCCATTCGAGCAAATAACAGAGACCATTGTCAATAGTGTAGAGAAGAGAATTAAATATTGATTTAAAAAGCACAAATTCTAAGCAATTTGAACACAACTGTAGTATAACGAATTGAGTAAATTAAGAAAATGGTGTGAATGTACGAACCGAATGCGGTATGAGAAAGGAGCTTTGCTTCTAGTTCTTCCTTACTATTAACTGAATGACAAATCACAGGCCGACCGCTAAACATTTGACTAAATTTTTAGTGTTTCTGCGGTTAATTTAAGTTTTTAACATAAAATCGATAAGTTTTGCCACAAAACCTTAAAACAATATGATTTTTGACAATCGTCTCTCCACTTTTAAAAGGGCAAGTCACTTTTGAAAAATCCAGTTATGGTAATATTTCTCAAGTTTAAGATCAATTTTCTTAGAGATGAAGCATCAACCAGAAGCAAATGTTTCAGGATTTTGAAAGAGGAAGGAAGTAGAAGTTGGGGAAAATTGAAAACTAGTAGTTAGTGGTTGCTTTGTTATTCACTCTAGAAAACAGCCCCGTTGTTTTCACCGTTAGAGAGACAATGGACTGGGAGTTCTAAATCATATATTGGTGTTAAATTTTCATTTTATCTTCATAGCAATATTTGAATAAAAAAACATCAAAAATTACTTTTTTGTACAATTTTTCTTAAAAAAACAAACCATTAGGAAAAACTCTTTTGGCTGCAAAATAGGTTCATATTGGTGAGTAGTATTTGTAAAATGCAGTTTGAACTTTTCATTTTTTGAAATGGCAAAGCCATAGCAAAAACAATTTTGCCAGAAAGTCTATCGGGACCCTCGCCTGGAGAACTCCTTGCGATCATTTTGAAAAGTTTTTCAGGTGATTTTTGTGATCACCGTGATGAGTTCTACTAGTCCTGAAAGTGCCATACGATTGACAGAAGTCAACGTAAATGTGGTACACTCGCCAAAGAATGACCCTTTTCTTAGTGATCGTAGTGTTTCTACGAAACGAATACTTATAACTCTCTGCACCGTTTTGACTGTGTGTACAAAACTATGAGGTTTAATAAAGTTTAACCTGAATTACTCTAGAAACAAACCACAAACAGACCTTTCACCTCACTTTTACTTAGTTTCTTCAACTCTTTTTGTTCAGTATTCATATATTGTGTGACTGACTAGATGTTAGTGAGAATCAAAAACCTACAAGGAGTGAGAATTCAAGTTGCTCTTCTATTTTAAAAACTTGATTAATTTAATTTCGGAATGATTTGATAATGTGTAATGTGTATTTCACACTTTCTCCAAAGTACAGAATCACAAGCAAGAGTAGACAATCTCTAGAGAATGTGTGCATTCGTTACTTCTACATCTCGATAACACATACGTAATTCATATTAAAAACGTCTTTTAAGTGTTAGCTCTAAGAACGTTCATGCACCTACTGTCATATTTCTAATCCACAATCAGGTACTGATTAAAGCCGTATCAAATAAGAAATATGTCTTACCTATCTCTCCACTTTTTGGCAAATGTTAGGAAATGTCTATATAGACATTTCCTAACATTTGCCAAAAAGTGGAGAGATAGGTAAGACATATTTCTTATTTGATACGGCTGTATTAAAAATGTAAGAATTTAGTGTGAAGTGAGCTATGCCCTCAAAAATAATAATAAAAATCTCATTTCTTTAATCAGAATACTATTTGTATGATGTGAATAACTAGCACTTTTATTTATAACATAAACTATAGATGGAAACTTCAATCTAATAGATCATCTTCAAGAGGGTATCAACAAAAATATAAAAAGCACGCACATAGTTTTCTTCATCTTTTCTTTCTACTTTGTTCTTTTCTTCAACACTACAAATAGAGAGTATACATGCTGATATTACAGTGTCTATTCCCCTTTATTATGATGCGTGATGAGTCCGATTTTATGCACACATCATTTATTTATACCTTATTTTGTTATAAGCCAAATGCGAATGTTTCAATGTTAATATTCTCTTTTATTTTCCTCTTTTTCTAATTACTATCTCTTGCACTTATCCTAGATTGCTGGATCTGGGTATTTGTTTCTCAGTATGTGATCGTGACTTTCCATCTTTCTTTAATCCTTTTCCATTAGTGTCTCATTCTATAGATACTATTACAGCTGGCTTTGTCTGTTTATTTATAACATTCGGCACATCTTATTTTGTACAACTCTTCAATTTATCAACATCTTAGTGACTTGTTGACGAATAAATTGTTGTTTTTGTTGTCTTGATGATCGTCTTTTTTATTTTTCTCTTAGCTAGATTCTGTAGAATTTTACATCAGATATTGTTCGATGTGTTCATATTATTCATTCAACAATTGTTTCGATAAACATATTGCTATCAACGTACTAATCAATATAGTTTTACACTTTCTCACTTGAAAACTCAGCAAGTGTAAATACAAGTCGGTATTTGTCAGTTTTCTGTAAACATTTGTATTATATTTTGCTCATTTCCGTTTGACTTTAACATCGACTAATGAAAGTTCGTAATAGTTCTTCTCCACTTCACGAATGAATTGCATTTTTCGATGTTGATCAGTTCTACTATTCTATGGCAATTATTGTGTATCGTCTTCGTTTTCTTTTGTAATTACGAACATATCATCATTTCAATCTTCGACCTTAATACTGTTCAACTTTAACTCCTAGGATTTTCATCAAGATCTCCATTAGTATGAATTTTAAAGGGAAACTCATCGATACATCGTCAACTAATTGAAAGAGTTGATTATAGAAATGTGATGGATCCCATTTGATCAGCTCAGATAATTGCTTCAAGTCTTTTTAATTTAACTTTGTTAATTCTCGATTTTGTGTGTTCTTTTTCATCACAATATCAATGGCAAGATCAATCGCTTCATTCACTAAAACATTAATAAAAAGCGACATCTAAACATCTTCTCTTTTTTATGTGACTTCTGTTGTCGAACGCTTTTGCAAATTGAAACAAACATTGCGTGTACAGTTCCAGTTTGCTGTTCGCTTGTTCGAAAATTTCGTTTAGTCAATAAGCGAGTTGATAGTTATACGTATTCGTCATCGATATTATCGCTTTTAGAGCAAAAGATTTTTCTTGTGTACTTTTGACTG